GCGGTGGGCCAAATGCACTGGAGCAGGGCATGGCTAGGAGCCAGGTGTTCTACTGCTCCGTGGGCTGCTCATGCTGGAGTCCTGAGCTCCACCACGAGGCCCTCTGGGCTGCCGAGCAGGTGGATCTCCCAGAGGGTCCATCTGCCTGCTCCACACAAGAGTTATAGGAACTGTAGAGCCCAAGGACAACAGTCAAGACCAGCATCACTGCGGCCATCATCCAGATCACTTGCCAGTGCTGACACAGTTTGGGATACATGACTTGTAAGAAGTGGAACAATTCTTCAAGTTTGCTGTCAGTGAAAAAATAGGCAGAGGGGTTAGTATATTGGGCACATAAAGGACTCCTGGACTCACACTTCTCTGTCTATGTTACCCTCTGTGCTGTCTATAGCAGAGCTTCTCAAGCTAGCTCAGAATCACCTGGCAGATCTCATTCACAATATCTCAGGCCTCCTGAATGAGAATCTCCAAATTTATGATCCAGGAAACCCTAGGTGATTTTGATACCACTGGTCCACACCATCCATGGTGGTAGCTAGTTGTTTAGACCGCTTATTACTTGTTAAGTTCTCACCCATTCACACATGTCCTCATTTGTTCATGGGATGATTACTGACAAGTCCAAGGGTACAAGACTGGATGAGTTATACTCCCATTGACCCAGACAGGACCAGCATCTCAACTTTGCGGTATTGCAGATAAATTCCTAGTCCTAATCTGTCCTCTGCATCAATGCTGAGATATGTAGGTCATTGTTCTTAGTTTGACATCTGCCTTAAAGTGGAAGAACAGTGCTAAACTCTCAGAAGCGGTGTGACTTCCAGTGATGAACGATGAAGGCTCTGAAAACCAGCCAAGGAAAAGCAGGCATCAGTAGCCTCTAGCAACCTCTGGGAGGCTCATGGAGATGTGTGTCAACCTGGTCTGTCAACCTAGTTTGTCAAAGTAGAGGCTGTGGACCCATCCCTTAGTTCCCCTTCTCCTTTTCCTCCGTCACTCTCTCCAAACCCCATGCCCCCTCTTCTCTCCTTCCTCTTCGCCTCTCACGTTTGCATCTCTCTTCCTCTGCTTTGGTCACTTTTCCTTATTTCCCAACTGCCTTTCAGCCTACCCTCTCTTTGCAGCTTAGTGAGAAAACACAGGATCAGAGCTGCATTCTAGAGCTTTCTGGTGCAGCTCTGCTTACTTTAACCAAGCTAGATTTGTTTCCCTCCTGTCTTTAATTCCAGATCTATTATTTTTCATTTGAAAAATGAGGATATTGAGGGTAACTAAACCAACGAGGTGGGGGAGTTTGACAGGGCTTCTCGAAGACCCTGCAGTGCTCAGGCCAGCTGCCGAGGAAGCTGGTAGCTCTAACACAGAGTTGGTAGGAAAATAATGACTTGCCACGGACTGAAATATCCAGCAAATGCCCTCCTTAGAGAGGGCTAGGCCCTTGGAGTGTTTGCCTTGGATGCCAGGGCCACAGGGAACAGCAGCTGGTTTCATATCCATGTGGGAACCCCATCAAGACATTTCAGCTACAGCTGAGCACATTTGCTGTTGAAAAAAGAAAATCATTGGCTATTTTCGCAACTGCTGTTAGAAGGGAGAGACTGGAAATACAAGCTTACTTCCCTCCAGCTCCATTTATCTTCAGATCCTATTTAGTTAGGGCTGGAATCCAAATGGAGTCTTTGAGGCTGTATTTCCATGTTTCAAAATGCGCTGATAGGGAGGGGAGAATCTCACTCTAAATCTGCTATTTTTTAAATGTGTGTGTTTTACCTGCATGTATGTAAGTGAACCCATGCCATACAATGCCTGTGGAACTCAGAAGAGGATGTCAGATCCCCTGGAACTGGAGTTACAGATGGTTGTTAGCCGCCATGTGGGTGCTGGGATCCAAACCTAGGTCCTGAGCCATCTCTCCAGCCCCTCTAAATCTCCTCTTAAGAGACACTCTAAGGAGGAGGTCAAGGTCTAGCTTGTTGATCTTTAATTGATTATCCATTTTTATCCTATAAGAAGTTGGAGAAATAACTAGGTTAAAAATAGAATTCTTATGGGAGTCAATTTTTGATGATTAAAGTGTCTGTTTGTTTTCTGAGCATTATTTGAAAAGAATTTAAGCACCTGTTTAATGTAATTTTAACCTTGTAGAGCAAGTTTGAACCGACGATGGGAAGAAAAGACAGTGTTATGTTCCACTTCATGGATCTCACTTGAATTACATAAATGTGAGAAGACTGGGTTTTCTGTTTTGATATTGTTAAGGTGTTGGGTTAAGCCACCCAAAGTTCCTCCAGAGACAAATATTTATAACAGATTACATTACTACACATAACAGAGAAGAAACTTAGACAAAAAGACTTTTGAGTTTGATCTTGAAGATTTTAAATAAAGGGCTAAGTTGCCAGGCTTAGCTCAATGGCTTTTAAAATGTATGAAAGAACGTTTGGAACTTCAGGTGTGTGTGTGGGTTCATGCATCTATGTGCACATGTGGAGGCCAGAAGAGGGCACTGGGTATTCTCCACCACTGTCTTCCTGTTTCTTTGAGGCAAGGTTTCTCCCTGAACCTAGGGCTCATGTTTTCCTGCCTAGGCTGGAAGCCTCGGTGAGCCTCCTGTCTTTGCCAAAGTTGGAGCTGGGGTTACCAGTGAGTGCAAGATACCTGGTTCGTTATGTGAGTGCTGGGACCCAAACTCCAGTCCTCATGATTGTGCAGGAAGTGCTCTTAATCACTGAGCCATCTCTCCAGCCCTCTACATGGAACGTTTAGTAACTTCAGACTTTGCTTGCTAGTGAGGTGTAAGCATTTCAATAGGACTCATGTTTGAATGCAGATGCCTGCAGGCAGCTCTGAGTCTGAGGAACTCAGGAATGGCTAAGCATCTCCTGGCATTGAGTATGACAGTTCTTGAGACTAGTCTGACTTGGGTTAGGGGAGAGAAAGGAGCTTTATGAGAGCAAGTGTGCAGTTTATATACTAGTAATGTCAGACCTTATGGAGAAGATGATCCCCCATTCCAGGCCTGAAAAAGTGAAACTTGTACCTTTTTGCTGAAAGTTGAGAACCATTCAGAGGATTCTGCTCAGGCCTGGTATCTATCACCTGATGAACTGGATTATTCTTAAAACCCCAAAGCAAATCTAAGCAGGAATGGAGGCCTCTGAAGACCAACAAGACTAAGAGGCTACTCAGAGGATGGATGCTGCAGGTGGTCACTGCCTAGTGCTGCTCACCAGCTGGACAGAAAGGGACCCAGACAAAGCCTTGCTTCCCTGAGGTTTCAGGAGATAAGAGGGAGCTGCCAATTGCCAGAGATCAAATTAGATAAAGCCTGTGCTTTCTAGGCCAGACTGTTTATATTCCATGCACTCACTCTGTTTATTTCTCTTTTGTTCTGTTTCAGTGTTTGGAAGTGTTAGAACTTCTAGCCTGTCTTAAATAAATTAAGGGGGCCAAAAAGGGTTTTTGTCCAGGTTTGGGCTTGATGACATTAAAGGGGAAGAAGGCAGTCTGATGGCCTGCTAAAAGACTACAGATGGCCCCCCAACAGGGAGGTGGGATGTAACAGAACAGGATCCAGTTGCTCCAAGTCAAGGTTGTAGTTTCATGGTTAAATTTGAGGCTCATTCACTTAGGGAAGGTGGTGTGCCAGAACATGTTCTCCAGGAGGAAGCATTTTCCCCAGCACTCCAAGAAGCCTCTTCCCTTGGCAATGCCATTGACCAAGGCAGTTCTGAGACCCTTCTGGTAGCATCTTCCGCCAGTGGGTTCTGTTGATGGCTTCTCTAGGCTTTGAAGTTTAGTTATGGTGTTTCTCACCATCACTGCCACTTTATTCATTGCATGTGAAATGAGATCCAGAGTTTGCCAACAATGAGGCTCAGTCACATACCCTGGGTCTGAGTTCAGCAACAGCTGAATACATAGTTAACCATTTTATCTGGAGTTGCTCTGGACCCCAGGACAATTGAGTGGTCAAAACCCAAAGATTTTAGTGAAGTGTGACAAGCTTTCTCTAACTATATTTGGAAGGAAAAAACCCTTGTGGTCTGGAAGTATAAACAGAGACAGTCGGGCAGAATCTAAGAAAATGGGGCATTCCTGAAAATCTAGAGTATTGAATGTGGTCCCTATATTGATAGAGATGTTTAGGGACAGTGTATTCTCCTATGGGATAGTCTGGCCTACTAGAGCTGAGACCTCATCAAATGGAATGTCCTGCAACTAGAGGCTATTTCTAGTGTTCTTGGGTTGAGGATGTAGCTCAGTAGATGAGTGCTTGCCTAGTACGTCTGAGGCCCTATGTTCAATCCCAGAACCTAGCACCACCTCCCTCCCCCCATTTTTTTAGTCAACAAGTAGGAGGTCAGATAACAAGTGGGAGAAATGCAGGGCATGTATTTTCTTTCTCTAGGTAATGTTTCCTTTTTCACTGATTAGGGGAAATATACTTGAAGTAGAAAATATTTAATTTCCAACCTAAAGTGAAGACACAGAACAAGTGACGAAATTTGTTTGCCTGACATGGAAGGGGCCTGCTGGAGACTCACCTTTGCCAGTGAGCTCAACACATCCCCTGCCCCATAGATTCCTTTACCCCAGAGTCTGTTCTTTTCCGAAACCCTCTCTAGGGATTCAAGCCGGCTCCCTTAGTTGGGCTCTTTCAGAGGGATGGCTAGGGAATGGGCTGACCATAGCTTGTCTGGGAGGGAGTCCACTAAGGGTCCCTTAGCCTTTCTTGGCTCCTAAGAGCTCTTGATAGCTTCTGTCCTGCCTATGACCATCTCTGACATCCTGCTTCTTGCAAGAGTCACATCACTAACTTGTCTGGCTCTTGATTTTCTCCACCTTCCCAAGTTAGTGCTTCCTTGGTTTCTGTTGGCCGCTCACTTGGGCCCCTGACCCACTGCTGTCCAGGACTGACATTTCTGTAGATATCATGCAACTCAATAACTAAATGATGTGTAAACCCATTTGGGCTCCAGCCATTGGCTTCCCACCTGCTTCTCTGCTCTTTCTCCTCATCCTCAGCTTCTTCGACCTCCTCTGGTTCTTCAGGATTCTCAGTCTTCTGTTCCTCCTCCTCCTCCTTTAGGTCTTGAAGTTCTTTGGTCTTCTTTAGACCTTCCTGGTATCTGGAGACAAAAAAGGAACAACTGAGTCTAGAAGGGATGGACACAGGGTATTCTTGCCTGACACCCTGGGGGAGGGAACTCAAGCACCTCCAGTCATCATGCACTTCCTGTGGTTCCACACAACAGGAAAAATCTGGGAAGCTCTGCTGAGCCCCAACGAGACCAATGTCAGTACAATTTCCCCTCATGCCTCAGTCACCCTTCCTGTTTATGTGATAGTGTGTCAAACTGACTGGGAAAAAAATGTGGGATGGGGTCTATGGTTGGAGTTGTTATCCTACAAGCCATTCCGCAGAGATAAGATTGCATTTGATCTGTGTAACGTGAGAGCCTTGCACTTGTAAAACAATTCGGATGATCCCCATCTCACAGGATGAAATGCTTCTCTGAAGTACCAGGGCTTGACCTAGGGTGGTCCCCAGAAAATGTTCGCAAAAACAGTGGAGGAGTTTGCCCCCATGTTTTTGGAGGATAACTTTCCTACAGACCTTTATGATTCCTCCCAGGATCAGTATTGTCCTGAACATACTCTGTTTATTTGTCCTGTAGAAAGGTGTTTGTTGTCCTAGTTTGTCTCTCCATTGCTGTAACAAAATACTCTGACCAATACCAACTTGGGGAGGAAAGGGTTTATTTTGTCTTACATCTCCCAGGTCACAGTTCATCAGGGAGCCCAAGGTAGGAACTCAGGGCAGGAACCTGGAGGCAGGAGCTGGAGCACAGGCCATGGAAAAATGCTACGTACTGGCTTGCTCCCCTGGCCCCTGCTCAGCCTGCTTTCTTATGCAACACAGGCCCACCTGCCCAGGGGTGGCACCACCCACAGTGAGCTGGGCCCTCCCACATCACTCATCAAGAAGATGCCCCTCAGACATGGCCAGAGGCCAGTCCAATAGAGGAAATTCCCCAGCTGAGGCTCTCTCAACCCAGGTGTGTCAAGTTGATGCTAAAGCTGCCTAGCACAGGTGTTCAATTTCATTAGTTTGGCTGGGGGCAGTCTCATACATCACCAAGTGAGATAGTCACACAGAAGCCCCAGGGTCCTGTGCCCATGGCAGGCTGTGCCTCCCTCGGGAGCCACAGGGGCAGTATGCCAGGTTGAAGGTGAGTCTTCATCTTGAGTCCTGGACCAATGCTGTCTCCCAATGACTGACAGCTGGCCCCAGGTACTACTGTGGCTCATTTAGAGACAGGAGAGGATGGAGGTGGAGGGTACACTTGGAGTTAGGGAACACCAGGGCAGTTATAGGAATCAGAGTTGTATTTGCTCCTGGGGACTGTTGGTAGCAACAGGAAGGCTCTGTGCACGTGTCAGGAAGCCTCAGGCACCACCAAGAGGAACCTACCCTAGGCCCTTGATTTCCAGACCTTTCAGAGCAGAGGCATTATGGCTAAAAAAGAGAATAGTCTAGTTTGTTGTTTAACCACACCCTGTGCCCTACTTCCTTCTGTCTGTCCTATGGAACAGTCTCACCCTTTCCTACATAGGTCTTTACTGACTCCAGGAGGCCCGGGGCCCACTGGTTGCTTCCCCAAAACCCCTCGAAAACATGGGAGGCTGTAGGAAGCTACCTTCTGAGATCTGCCAGCTGCCCTCAAGGTGGCAAGGTCTGACTCACCCCTTATTGTAGGCTTCATCCTCCATCCTGACCTTGGTCTCTTGGCTCATCTCCTCCAGGCAGCTCGGGAGTGGCTCGGGGGCACAGGCTTCACAGTCAGACTCCCCATTTGTCTTTCCACTAGTAAGGGGGAGGGGAAGTACAGGCTGTCATTGCAGGGAGAGGTTGAACATCTGCAAACAAAACCATATCTTTGGCCCAATTCCTGATTCAAAGAAAGGAAAGTAGGCTTTCAATGGCTTTTGGGTTGTTTAAAGTCCTACCTTGAGACAAGATTTTATAAAGACCCCACTCCATGAATCCCCCCAGTCAACTGATCATTACAAAGTCTCCCTTATCCTGATGTCCCCAAGTCCAACTTTATTCTTATTCTAGGAGGTTCTGTGAGTAGACAGACAAGGATCGCGGGCATCATAGCACTGAGATGAGGAAAAGGAAGCAGACCCAAACATTCTAGATCCCTCCTTTTCTGTAGTCTATCTTATGCCTCATGATCTCCATTTATTCCTTCAACTATCTACTGGGTATAATAAAGTCACCAATATAAGGCAATGTGGAATTACAAAGGAGAAAAAAAGAATTTTTCCCCAATGTAGAGTTCTACAGAAGAGGAAGAAAACTCCCCTTTAACTAATTACAGATTATAATATTTATGAAAGAAACTATACAGTGACAGGAAATAACACGGTGAGGGCATGTTTAGAGTGAACCATCAGAAAGGCATCTCTAAGGTGCTGAAATGGAAACCCTGGCCCCAAAGATGAGATCTGCCCAATCCTATCCATCGCATACAAAGATCACCCAAGACGGGATGGAGGACCTGGAATCAGGTCAGCAGGTCTGGAATGCCTGAGTTGCAGAGAACGGTCAATATGGGGTTAGTTAAGTTAGGAGCAGGATAAATTTGTCATGTATGTAAAATTGTATGCAGAGATGTTGGGTAGACAGCTGGATATGCCCAAGTAAGACAGAGAAGAGTTCTTGGCTGGAGATACTTTATGTTGTCAGATATAAACAGGTCCAAAGTGAATAGATAAGACTGCCTAAGGAGAGGACACAAGGAAAGAGGGACTAAGAACCCAGGCCCAAGCCCGGGTATCTCCACACTCAGCTCAGGAGAAAGAAGAGGAGAGCGCCTCAGGAGATAGAGAAGTGGCAGCTAGAGAGGTAGGAAGAAGCCTGGAGAGGGTGGCAGCATGGGATTCAAGAGAGGAGTGGGTCAGGGGAAGAGCTCACTGGGTCTTGCTGTGTCTTCTAAAAGTCTGTGTCCCCAATGAGGTTTGATAAAATACAGAGGTCATACGGTGCCTTGACGTAATGGTTGAATGGACCTAATGAGGAAAGGGAGGGAAAGGGAAGAAAGGTGCAGCCATAATTTGGCCAGAAAGAGGAGTGTGTTGGCCAGAGTGCTTAACTAAAGTGGGTCAAGGGATGCGACCATATTGGAACACAGGTAGAAAGGGCCCAAGAGAGGACAAGAGAGGGCCAGAGGAAGGAGCCAAAGCTTTAGAAAAGTAGAGAGACTGCTTCATAATTAGGACAAAGGGTGGAGCAGGAAGAGGGCAGTGGGCTGGGGGTCTAGTAAAGGAAGATGAGCTGACTGACAGCTGAGATGTTCTAAGTGCAAGGCCTGGTCATCTGCAGAGTGCAAGAGGTAGAGGGGTCTGGGAAGGTTGAGAAAGAATAGGAATATAAAAGAGTCATGTGGGAAAGTAGGAAATAAGCATACTAGCAAATCATTGCCAGGTGGCTGGGCATGTTTGGAGCCTATGTAATGTATGGATGGAACCACAAGTTTAAAGGAAATGTCCTGACAGCCCACCTTCTCTACAGATCAGCAGGGCATCTCAGTACCCCTCATCCCATTGGAAGTGATGGTATTGTGCAGGAGCCCAGAAACAGAGCAAAACTGTAAGCAGAGTTTTCCATGGGGAAGCTAAAGGATCACAGCTGCCGTCTCTCAGGCAGGGTCCCTGAGTGAGCCTTCTGTCTGCTCACTGCTCTTGGCATCAGTTTCCCAACTCTTAGTTTTCCCTCAGACCTTGAAAATTTACATTTCATCAGGATGGAAACCAAAACCCATTGTGAATGGGAAAGATAACACTCTAAAAATACCAGCTATTCATAACATTTCTCCTCTTGCAAATTACATTCTCCACTCCCTTGCCTGTGACCTTTGCCTGGTGAGCAGTTTCCCATTGTCCAAACCACTAGAGAAGAAAAACAGCAGCAGTGAAAGGCAGGGACAGCATTCTTTCAAGAAACACATTTACACATTAGAACGGAAATATGGGTATTGTACTTTTGGCTTCTTTTCTCTGGATAGTTGTCCACCTTGGAGGTTCCTTAATGTCAAACAAGTGAAGGATGCAGCGCAGAGGAAGAAAACTGGCCTGAGCAAACCTGGTTCAAATCCCAGATCCAATACATCAAATTATAAATCTTCTTGAACTTTAGACTCCTCAACTGTAAAATCCCAATAATAATACGTACATACTTGATGGTAATGGTATGAGAATTAAGGAAGAAATGTAAGCTTCCAAGTGAAGCCAACCATGGCCGAGCAGGACCTTTGACTTATCTTCACATAGGCGGAACTGGTAAAAGAAAGGAGCCAGGGGTTCCTCCCAGGACCATGTGACCCCTGAGGAACAGATCCTCAAACTGCCGTAAGAGTAAAAATAAATTGGTTTATCTGGGCCAACTATATGACCTTAAACACCCAAAAGGAAAGTATAACCAAAGGTTAAAGGGGCCAATATAATTTTTTAAGTGTCCATATGTATAGCTAAAGGATACATAACTAGAAACAATGCCAGATAGGAGATACCTTCTTTTGAGTTGTTGGCCAGGGTGGCCCAAGAGACTCCCAGAGAGTAACCCAGCATAGAACTGGGAAAATGAACAGCAGACCCCAATCTTATCTAAAGGAATATTGACAACTGGTTGCTGCTAGATGAGGAACAGCTGACCTTCCTAAAACAAAGACCTCTAGATAGGCTGACTAGATTCACCAGAAGGGCAAGTAGTGGGGAATGGCTGGGGTGCCCACAACACAGCGGACAGTACCAGGGATGACAGAGTATAAGGGCTCTAGTTGGGGGGCGGGGAGGCTATGGGAGGGTGCCATCTGGGAAGTGGGTATATAGATGAATAAGATTGTTTACCATGTTCTGTGTGATATACACACAAAAAAATCAACACATTTTAAAAATGAATTATATTTGAGGAGGAAGCATAAAAATTTACATCATGTTAATTAGTAGAGGTAAGTGTACTTTCTTAATATGATACTCTAGAATGATATCTAGTATTATTGTTATTGTATATAGTAAATTGGTCAATGTAAGCAGCAAACTGAGCTTTATCTAAACAAAAAAAATTATTAAGCCAGATGTGATGGTACACACCTATAAACCCAGCACTTGGATGGCCGAGGCAGGAGGATTGCCACAGGTGTTTAAGGCCAGCCTGGGCTACACAGTGAGTTTAAAGATAGCCTAGACTACATAGAACCTATCCCAAAAATTAAAAAGAAAAAATTAACCTGATAAATTTCCCAGGCAATTACTTGTATCTTAAAGAGGAAATGATATAGGGCATTCAACACTCCAGAGTCAGAGGAACCCTAAATGTGAATTAGCTTAAAGTATGCAAAAATTGCGGTGGCACTCACCTTTAATCCCAGCACTTGGGAGGCAGAGGCAGGCAGATCTCTATGAAGCCAGCCTGGTCTACATAGTGAGTTCCAGGCCAGCTGGTGCTACAGGGAGGCCCTGTCCCAAAAAGACAAAAAAAAAAAAAAGTGTGCAAAAGTTTACATAAAACTAATGTTTCTCAGATGTACATCATTTGCACAACACACACGTACCTTAGACTTGCTGGTTAAGTGACTGTAAACAAACTGTCACTGCCTGGGTCACTGTTCTTGAGGCACAACTTCCAACAGTTATATTTTACTTGCCCTTCAGCATGTGGCCCTCCCGTCCACTCCAGCTCTCCAGTGGGCCTTTTGCATGCATTCTCTTGCTTGGTCTTCCCAACTATAAGAACAGCTGATACTGTGTCAGTCTCTGTTCTAAGATCTCAATCACTTGAGACTCATGGGTAACCCTACCAGGTATTGTTATCCAGTGTTTGACAGGTGAAACCAGGCTAAGTAAGAGAAGTGAAATAACCAGCCCAAGGGCTTGCTTTCCTGAAAGGAAGGAGAATATTCTAGAGAGATGCTTGTGTGCCCCATTTCAGTCATCAGATTATTGGAACAACGTACTTCAAGAAATTGAAACCCTCCCAGGAATCTCCTGCTGTAAGAAGAAAAAGGCTGAAACCTGGGGCTGGCTAGAAGGGAATTTTGTCTCTCAGAGATGTGCAACTTGTCAGACCACCTAGCAAGGCAGACTGCAGCTGAGATAATGATGGGTCAATGATGGTCCTAGACCAGAACCATTTAGTTATGCATACCTATAACCAACGACTTAAACCCAAACCTCATGTCAGGACCCAGAAGGCAGACTTGTAGGATGAGTGGTAGGTGGGGGTCACTGGATCTCTGTTCTTCCCAATGTGACCTCATTAAATATATTTTTCTGCTTTACAGTATTAATTTGGCTGTCTTTTTTTCTTTTGGGGATACAGGGTATGTGCTCCCATACCTGGCTAATTTGTTTTCTTTTTTTATTTTATATTTTGAGACAGGGTCTCACTATATATCCCTGGCTGGCCTGGAACTTGCTATGCAGATCAGGCTGGCCTCAAACTCACAGAGATCTGCCTGCCTCTGCCTCCCAAGTGCTGGGATTAACAACATGTGCCACTATACCTGGCTTAATTTGGCTTTTAATTGACTTTCTGAGGATAGGTGGCTGAGCCTAACTTGTTAGGGCTACCAGGGCAGAGGCTATGACCTTAACTTTAGTAACAATTAGCATATGGTAGAGCTCAAATTTGACCCTATTCAGGTTGACACTGGCCCATGCTTTCACCGTACAATCTACTACTCACGTGAAGTATTACTCCACTTGGCAGATAAGAAACACAAGCTCAGGTTGGTTAAGACATTTGCCTGTATTCACATTATTGATGTTGGAACATTCACTTTGGTCTACTAACCATGTCAAGATGGATTTTCCAAACCTCCTTGAGCCTTCCCTTACAACAGAAATCTTCTCCTGAGGCTCTGAGTAGTGTGAAGGACCCTAGCCACCTGTCAAAGAAGCTGTTTCCACCCACAATCCCATGGCCAGTGATGCTCTCTCTTTGATAGACTAGTTCAAGTAGGAGAGGCTGGGAGGGCCTTGGCTTAAGACTGGCCAGAGTGCTGAGATTGGAGGTGGGGCAAACACACTGTTATTTAAACTTTGTTGTCATCTCCTGACCTCTAGACCAAGCTTGGAGTTCCCTAAACAACTTCTCCAACTACTTGGAAGTATCTCCTTATACATCTTTAAGACTCGGCTCAAATCCTCCTTCTCTGTGAGGTCTTTGCTGATTTTCTCCCATCTTCCAGACCCACTGGCTAAAGCAGATCTCTCACCACAGCTCTGTAACAGCACAACCCAGAGGGGGCATGTTTTCATACCTGCTGATCTTCCCTATGACCATGACCACAGGAGAGGGCTGTTTTTGAATCACATAGATGCTCTTGTACAGAGCAGGAACTTTGGTTACTCCAACTTCACTATGACTTGCTCAAGTCCCTGCCTATGAATCTAGTGAAATGGGCAAGTCCTCTCTGGAAATGGCCATTTCCTGAGCATCTGGAGTTTGGCTTGGGCTAAAAGAATCTGTATTCATATCTGTAAATGAGATCTGAGCATAACCTGTGCCCACCCCAGGGATTGCTGAACCAAGTACGTGGATTTTGGCAACCATCCCCAACCTGAAATCTTATGCCTTCTTCTAGGGGTGATTCACTAACATGTGGCGGTGTGTCATTGTGCTCAGCTCTCTGTCATGTGAGGAGCTGCTTATTCGCATGATGTTGACCAGACATGTTAGTTTTAATGCCCCCCCCCAACACACACAAGGTAAACAATATTTGAAAGTGATTTCAATCCTCTCCAATGGACAGATCTTGCCTCATAAGCCGAGCAATGTTACTAAGTCACTGACACTCAATGGCTCCCTCTGATAAGCCCAGCCTGGGGGATCTGAGCTAGAGGAACGTCTTCATTACTTAGCACCTAGTCATAGATTATCCTGGGGGAGAATTTTCTCCAGAATATAATCAATAAGGGAATAGGTTGCTGATTGTATAAATTCAATACTCGTATAAAATCTTCAAGCAATTTACCCTGGCTACTTCAAAAGCATACAAGATTGAGACCATAGTTACCATTATACTGTGACACACTGGTATATTGGTCCTGTTTATGGAAATAATACCTAAGTGCCCTAACATCCCAGCTTTGTTGATCCCTCAGTGAGTGATGCTACACGTTCCTTCTCCTACACGACTCTTCTGTGCTCCATGCCCTTCTAACCATCAGGTTCTTCCGCAAAGAGCTCCATTCCCCATCCTTTCTCCGTAGTCACCCTGAGTGTCCTCTGTTCTTCTATTAAGAGGTTCAGAGCATGAACTGTACTATTTACTAGGTGTGTAGGTTCAGCCAAGGTACCAAGTCTCTGGGCATCATTTCCCTCGTCAAAAAGACAGGGATACTAATAATTTCTCTACCTCATGGGGTTGTTAGTAGGATTACCTTGGAATGGATAACAATTAGGGAAGAAAGCACTAGGAATATAATGAATGCGTTGTAACTAATAAGAATTGTCGTCGTCATCACCTTTCCTTGAAGTCACTATGACCCTGTTAACATCCTATTTACCTACTTGATGATAAAAACCTTTAGGCGTAATTTTAAAGGTAGATTCCTAGGAGGAAACATTTTTTCAGCCTTCTCTCCTCATCTTAATCCACACAGGTTTAGGTGCACATTTTCTTGTGTGTTGGTCCCTTAGCAACTTGCACTTCCTTATAACAACATTCACCACACGGTAGAATAATAGACAGTTTCCGTCTGACTTTCCCACTGGCTTAGTATGCCTTGAGAACACTCCACAAGCCTGACCCTCAGAGCAATTGTCAAAAGAATGAAAGACTAGAATAAAAATGCACGAAGATATCGCTCTTCCCATGTGCATCCTTTTAAAAAGATATTTATTATTTTTGTTTTTTATGTGTAGAGTGAGTTGCCTGAATGTAGGTAAGTACACTCGGTTGTTAGCTGCCATGTAGATGTTGTGAACTGAACTCAGGTACTCTGTAAGGACAACCAACCAGGGTTCTTAACTGCTGAGCCATCTCTCCAGCCCAACCTCTAACTTCATAATATCACTCTCCATCCATATGTTTAACTCTAGACACTTGTTGAGTTGAAGAATGGTTTATTATGAAATGTCCTACAAAGGCAAGGCTCAGAATGTTCTAAATTCACATGGACAGACAGTGCAGCCAGCTCCCCTGTACTGTGGACTAGCCATAAGCCACTGGATCTTCCCATCACATGCCTAGCCAGTTCCCTTCCTGGGTTACTGAACACAGAGGAAATGGGGAAATCATTTTAACACGAAGTTCAATACAACTATCTAGGAAGGAATGTTTGTTAAATCCTAACACTCCATTTCTCTTCAACAATCTGACTAGGCTAGCTAGAACTGACTGCATTTGTATCTAGAACAGAAGGCATGGATTTCATTTTCACTCACCAATTGTCTCATTATTGGCCACTTAGAATCTGTTATGTTTCTAGTTTCATGAATCCAGTTGGAAATCCCTTGGCACCTTTTATAATCCACAGGGAGAAGCTGTTGTGTTCAGAGTCTCCTTGAGTCCTCCCTCCCCAATTTGCAGTCATCTCTATTTGCATGTATTCTCAGCAGGTGAATCAGCCTCAGCTCACACATGGTCAATGACAATTTCTGACAAGTTTAGGGGGAAGCTGCACACTCCTTCCTGGAAACCTCTGGCTCAACTTGCCTTGATTCTCACTTCAGCCTTTTATCTGATTCTAAACCCATGGAAAGGTGACACCAGCCCTGATTCTTACTCATTGACACTGTAAATTTGGGGATGTCCCCTGGATTCTCCTACCAAGGACAACTCATACTCTTTTTGTTTTGTTTATTTTTATTTAAGACACGATTTTACTATGTAGCCCTGGCTGGCCTGGAACTCACAGAGATCTGCCTGCCTCTGCTTCCTAAGTGTTGGGATTGAGATGTGTACTACCATGCCCAACCTCAGGTCATATTCTTAATGGTCACCACTGCCTGGGACACAGTGTCTCAGCTGGCCTAAGCATTAATTCCACATTTGAGCCTGTTGGGGGAGAGACCTAGATTTTCTGCCTTGACTGTGTTTGCAGACCTGGAGCTGGGAATGCGGCCTTGATGGAGGTGCTCTGGATTGGGGAACCCAAAGGGAAGGCTGACAGAAGTTCACGGAGCATAAGTCATAATTTCTAGAGTGACTTCTTCAGAGGCCACGCATTAGGCTCTGTGGCTCTGTATGATAAGATTCTGTAACTTTAGTTACTTCTTCACCTCCTGACAGTCTCCCCAGGAGAGAGAGGAGGAAGAAGATACACTCTGTGATATAAAAGGCTTGTAGGAGATAAAGGGGGTAAATATTGGGCAAACCTGCAGTCATGTGAGGGATCTTGAATGGGAATTTGACAGTTGTACTGGTTAAGTCTAGAGGTGGGGAGCAGAGAGCTTCTCTGAACTGACAAGGAACCCAACATACATATCCCCTGCCTGATTAAGCCCAAGTTTTCTAATAGTAACAGAGAATGAAGAACTAAAGCTGCTCTAGGCAAGGAAGGAGGAGAAATAAAATCTGCATTCCACTAACTGAGGAAAGACAAGGAGAGGTCCCTAGACCTAGAGGCGGCAGCTGCGATCCAGATGTTTCCAACAAGCAAACAAAAGAATTCCAAAAGTAAGCTGTACACGCCTCCCAGTGCCTAGAAACAGCCTGTCTTGCCCTCGCTTAGAATGAGAAGACCTGCAAATTGCACAGATGCCTGGGAAAGTCAGGACGAGGAAACTGTGCATCTTCCTACTTCGTAACAAGAAAGATGATTTTATTCGGGAGTTTACCTTTCCCAGAGTCACTGTGCTTCTGGGGAACTGACCCTTTCCCCAACTCCAGAAGTAGACTGGACAGAATGGTACCCAACTCCTTCTAGATACCGTCCGTCTAGGACTTCTGGAACCAGCAGCCATTTGTCACAGGCTGGAAGATGAAGTCAGCATGGAACTACGACAAACAGAACCATGCCACATTGGCGCAGCCCAACTCTGGACTTGTTATTCAATGTCTGTTGAGTTGAGACTTTCTTAAAGAGTCCCAACTAACAGGCAAGGCTTCTACCTTCCCTAGGCTCTTCTTAGGCTGGGTGTACTTGGCCTCAGCCATAGATAGCATCTTCCTGGTCCAAAAATTTTGCAAAGCAGGATCTACAATCTCCGTGGGTCTCAAAGTCCCCTTTATTTCACCTAGAACTTAAATTTCTTTCTATTTCATTTCAGGATTGAGGATAGGAGGAGAGAAGGCAAGTTGGGGAAGTTTTCTTTAGGGATCCCCAATGTTAAGAGGAAAAATAGGGAAACTTACTTTTCCAAAAGTGCAGGCAGTGCTGGGGTGGTGGATGTGTTGCTTTTCCCATTGGGTGATTCCGACTAGATGGGAACAGGAACCAGGACTGAAGATAAGTGGTGAAGAAAGCAGGCAGGCAGCCAGGCCTCTGGGGATGCTGGCAGGGGATGTTGCTGTCCCTTCTCTTTCCCTCCTGCCCCCCGCCCCAACTCTCCAATCCACTTTGGAGCCCAAGCATTCTTCCTTCCCCAAGTCTTGGGCCTTCTCTGTCCTCTTGTCTTCCTGCCTCCAGTGTCCCTCTGGGCACATACTCATTTCTCTCTCCTCTTCTATGTTTCCTTGTGTGAAGAGCAGAGTTTACATTCCAAGACTCCATTCTAGAGTAGAACCATCAGTTTTTCTCTGTCTCATTTCCTGACTGAAACTGAGCACCAGCAGGCCTCCTATCGGATGTGGGTCTAGAATTGCTTGGAATGGACTCACATAAGCCATCACTGGCCCACTGACACTGGTCCAAGCACAACTCTCAGAAAGTGCCTGCTGTCCATGTATGCTCAAGTCAACAGACATTTCTGTACAATCAGATAGGGTGTCCCTGTAGCCCAAGCTTGCCTATGTAAACCACGCTGGCCTCGACCTCACAAAGATCTGCCTGACTCTTCCTCCCAATGCTGGGACTAAAGGTGTACACCACCGTGCCCGGCTTACAGGAACCTTTTAAACAGTACTGAGCCACTCTAGAGTTTGGTGGTGAGGCCCATGCACAGGGTTTTTTTGATATAGCCTTTTGTCATTTTAAAGTTATGCCAACCACTGTCTGAGGATAGGAATTTGCAAATCATATTTATATATTTAAGTATTATGTGGGAAACAAGATTGTTAAACACCTAGTCCTTTCTAGTCTTTTAAAAAATTTTTCAGGTTTTGGGCTAGAGAGATGGTTCAGTGGTTAAGAGCACTGGCTGTTCTAGTAGAAGACCTGGGTACAATTCCCAGCACCCATATGGTGGCTGACAACCATCTGTATCTCCAGTTCCAGGGGCTCTGACTCTCCCTTCTGACCTCCTTGAGCATTGCACTACATGGGTATATTTACATACATGCAGAAAATACACTCATACACAAAAACTAAAATAGTAAATAAAATATTTAAATTTTTTCAGGTTTCTTTGTATCAGTGATTTGGGAGTTTAAGTTCATTTCATAGATAAAAATACCTGAGAAAGAGGTAAACTAGAGAATGACTTAAAAGAATTTTAGAGAGACGTTACCAGATACACAAAGGTCTAATATATAGAAAACATTTTCTTTGTTTAGAAGGAAATGAGTCTTCCTTTTGGGGTTATTATTTATATGATTTGTGAAGATATTTCTAAAAATCAAGAAAAATTAAAATGATCTACTTTACCACTTCTAGAGATAACTATTATTCTGATTGTTAGTTTTTGATTGTCAACTTGCTACAACCTAGAGTCATCTGGGAAGAGAGTTTCAATTAAGGAATTGTCCAGGTCAGGTTAGCCTGTGAGCATGTCTGTGGGGAACTGTGCTGACTTCTAGTTGAGGTAGGAAGACCTAGCCCATTATGGATGACACCATTTTGTGAGCTGGACCCTGGGCTCTATAAGTGTAGAGAAAGTTAGCTGAATAAAACCAGCAAGCAAAGAGGGAGGGGTCTACTATGTACTGTCTCCGTTCTTGACTGTGGAGGCGATGGTTTGAGTTTCTGCCTTGACTTCCCCTCAGGGACTATAACCTGGAATTGTAAGCCAAATAAACACTTTCTTCCCTAAACCTCTTTTTGTTAGACTATTGAATCATAGCAGAAATTAAACTAGAACTCTTATTAAGTTTCAAATAATTTTTTCCAATATTTTCTATGTTTACATGTAGACACACAATTTTTAAAAGTACAAAACAGTTATATATACCAATATATGTGTGTTACATACAAATTGCTATGTATTCATAATTAATTATGGGCAATAATTCTTTGGAAACTCTTTATAATGATATTTGCAATTTGTTTACCAATCCCCTATTTGTGGACATCAGGTTGTTTTCAGGGTTTCATTGTTACAAACCATGCTGTAGTGAGTTGTAACAGATGAGAATGGATTCAAGAACTCAGGCCCCAGGACCAGAGCTTTGCTTTAGATCTGGCAGTCACAACCCATTACACCCTTCAGCTACTTAAAGCTGTTTCAGAGTAGGGAAGAAACCATACCCTCCTTAAAGAATTGTGCTTTAATTCAGAAGCGACTGTGTATAAGGCACCCTTTCTGAGCTGTCTGTGCCTTTCTTAGGGGTACTGAGACTTCTTCTTAGAACAGTGAGATGGTATACATTGATTTGTTTTATGGCCATCATCCAAATTCTACACTGGAAGTTTTCTGTCTTTGTTGACCCAGTTCCCATCTGTGTCCCCTCCACAGTAGTGGTGCGAGGGAAAGGTAGGACAGAGCAGGAGGCACACATCATCATACATCATACTCACCAGGACTGGTAAGGAGGGAATGGGTGATGAGCTGGGAGGTTGGCCAGGCAGGTTCAGGGCATTAAACTTGGGAACCACAGCAACGCTGACCCTCCGGCGGGGCATGTTCTGTGGGAAGAGAAGTGACCAGGCCTGCTATCTTAGAAATAACAGTAGTCATAGTTCTGAAGGTATTGGAAAAGTCTACTTGTTTCTAATATTCCATGGATAATTTGGTTTTGGCGTGGTGATGGAGTTAGGAATTGGTGTAGAAAGGGCGAACCAAAGTTGACTCAAATTTCCTGTTGGTTGTGAATCATCTCTCAACACGTTCTCATTTTACATTATGAGACCCCAGAGAAACAATGAAAATGACACTCCAGAGTCCGGGTAACATCCTAGACTATGTGTAAAGGCTGCCGATAGCAACAACAAAGTCTATGCACCATGTCACGTCCACTTGGTGGATGAATAAGCGGGGAAACTACATTTCAGAAGGAAAGGTGGAGTGTCAGGGGCCAAGCAAGTATGTGTGAAAACTGCATGCTCTGTTGGAACCCATAGAGCCAAGAGTCAATAATCCCTTGAGTGACCATGGAAACTTCTGTCACACTCCCTCCAGAAGCCCTGGAATTCCTTGATCATGCGTACCTTTCCCATTGTGAGGGACATGGACCGTGCTGTGCGGGGGACGCCATCTTCTGCAGCAGGAGAGAGAACAAAAAGAGCTGGTGTAAGTTTCAGATTAGGATCCAATAGGACACAGACAGGCAGAAACCAAAGGAAGACATTTATGGGCCAGAACTGGCCTTGAAGGGATGGCCCAAGGAACGGGGCATTGGGCACCCTGAGTCTGACCCTTCACCCTCTAAGAAAATCATTCTCAGAAAAGAGACCCTTCTTAACTGGACAGTATTAACTTAACTGGACTGGAAGGTCTTGGGCTTCCGACCTTCACTTAACACCAGTCTCGGGATCACCCTGGATAGTGTGTGAGAACAGTTCAGCAATCCTGAATCTTATGGGAGTGTCATTCCGTGCTCACTCAAGGGAGGGATGGTTGGAGATACCATGAACAAGGGAGGTGTGATGTTGGAGAGAACGAAAACTTGCTAGCAGCAGTCACTCCAGAGGCTGCAGAGCTGGCTCAGTGCTTAAGGGCCCTTGTTGCTCTGCCACAGGACCTAAGTTCAGTTCCCAGCACCCACATCATCAGGCAGATCACATCACCTATAACTTCAGCTCCAGGAGATATAATGCCCACTTCTGGCTCCCATGGGCACCTGCCCACAAGTGGCATACACTCAGCAGAGACACACACATACACATAAATGAAAATAAATCTAAAAACAAAACAGAAGTAATTTCAAAGCATTACCTACACCATGACTCAGAACACAGGAAGCCAGCAGCTTAGGCCCTTTCGCCACTGAGTATATTAAATAACACAATCTATGTAAAATGCATAGTATCACGCCGACACAGTAGTGATACCAGGAAACATCTGGATACATGAAAAGTATTTTCATCTTTCCAAAAGTGCAAATTTTCTCCTTTTGAATATATTTCCAAATATGATTTGTCTAAACACTATAAGAAAATTATCTTCAAAGTCAGTTAAATTTGATGCAGGACAACATCACTGAGCCTGTACATTCATTCATGTGGCCTTCATCATCATACATTTTAGGTGTGGCTCTTGAAAAACATTATCTACAGGTCTTACTTAATGTGAGCATCTCTGCTAACCAATAGGCTTACACTGTTTATAATTCTTGGAAATGTTGACATATTTGTATTTATTTCTACCCTCTTATTTTGTAGCTTTTATTTACCTTGATTTATTCATTTATTATTTTTTTTCCTAACTTCTTTCCAACTCTACACATTGGCTGAGAAATTCTCTATTCTAGCTCTAACCTCTAAGATAGGACTTCAACTTCTGAACTTACCTTCTCCACATTTAAATGTAATCAGATCTCCAGTCTTTTCCTAAACAGAATTCAAAACAAGAATTCCCTCCAATCTTAACAATATTTTTGGTCAGCTGGGTGTGGCACATGCCTTTAATCCCAGCACTTGGGAGGCAGAGGCAGGTGGATCTCTGTGAATTCGAGGCCAGCCTGGTCTACATAGTGAGTTCCAGGCCAGCTGGGGCTACAGGGAGACCCTGTCACCATATTCATTTCACCTTGTTTTATATTCCCAAATTATTCATCATCCATGCAGTCAGCTATGACTGGGATGCTTGTTTGGTCCCGCCCACATGCTGACAAGCACCTCTGATCACCACTCTTCCTTACATCTTGCTCTTTGAACTCAGTTTTATTTCTCCCCCAACTGCCTTCCTTAGCTGTTCTCCCATCAAGAACGTACAAAAGGAAAGGTTCTTGTATCTCAATCTTGCATGATCATGTTATTTTTCCCTCAGTTCTTCGAAGGAGCAATATTGTCCTCAGGTGCCATCATAGCTTTTAAGAATTGTCATTCATTGGGGCTGGAGAGATGGCTCAGTGGTTAAGAACACTGACTATTCTCGCAGAAGACTAGGGTTCGAATTCCAGCACCCACATGGCAGCTAACAACTGTCTGTAACTCCAGTTCCCGGGGATCCAACAGCCTCTTCTGTCTTCTCCGGGCATTGCACGACATGAGTGCACTTCCTACATGCAGGCAATACATGCATACACATAAAAAACTAATAAATAAAATATTTTTTAAAAAAAGAATTGTCATTCATTTTTACACTGTCATCTCATTGCTTTTTATGATCATATCTTTTTCTTTTCTGTGTGTGTGATGCATGGATGCGCGCGCGTGTGTGTGTGTGTGTGTGTGTGTGTGTGTGGTGCACGTACACGTGTGTTTGCATACTAGTGTAGGCCAGGGGTCAGCACTGGGTGTCTTCTTTTATTGCTGTCCATCTTATTTTTTGAGTTTTTCAGTGAACCTGGATCGTGCTGCTTTGGCTAGACTGGCTGGCCAAAGAAGCCCTAGGATCCGCCTGCCTCAGCCTGCCCAGTATTGGAGTTACAGGTGTGAACCGCCTGCCTCAGCCTGCCCAGTATTGGAGTTACAGGTGTGAACCGCCTGCCTCAGCCTGCCCAGTATTGGAGTTACAGGGTGTACTGCCATGCAATGGGTGTCAGGAATCTGGATTTAGGTCCTCATGCTTGGCACAGCAAGTGTTTTATACACTGAGCCCTCTCTCCACCCCTACTTTATCATTCCTGAAGTTTCCATCTCTTGTGGTTTTCATTCTTTTCTAGGAATTCAGTATACTTCAAATTCAGTGATTCCAGCCTTTTGTTAGCTCTGGAGGATCCTAGGTTATTTCTTTGAAGATTTTCTGTGTCTAATGTCCTCTGTAAGGACCACCTAACAAATGGGCCACAGACTTTCTCACTCTACATCCCATGCCTTAATCACTGCTACCTTCTGAACTAGATTTGGGATAACTATATCAGATCTATCTTTTAGTTGAAATGACCCTTTTAGTTTTCTGAAACAGTGGTGCTCATCAGATCAGGAGGAAGAAACTCAGGATGGAGTGCACACTAGTTCCTAAGGGATCTGGGTCAAGGTAGTACAGTTCAATCACAAAGCCCACCACAACACCTAGCCCATCTTCAAGGGGTTGGGAAGTGGGACAGAAGGAGATCTGGACTATTGCGACATCTCATCTACCATATCTGCTGAGTTTTCTTCCCTGACTCTAATTCTCATTTTGAGGAGTTCCATTTCTTTTTTGCTAACTATTATTTGATCTGGTATTTTCCATTCATCCTTTTATATCTCTATCATTTTTAAGATTTATTTTTATAACTTTTAATTATGCACGTGTGTGCGCGCGTGCATGCGTGTGCATACATGCGCTGCTGTTCATGAAGGCCAGAAATGTCACATACCCTGGAGTTGGAGATAGAGGCTCTTGTGAGCTTCCCAACATGGAAGAGCAGTGCACGCTCTTAACCGCTGAGCCATCTCTCCAGCCCCTCTGCTAATTTTAAATGTGTCTTTAAAAATTCTAATTGTTTGACTATCTGATATTCTTAGGGTGAAATCCTATAGTTTGGTGAGTCTAATGGTTCTTGTTCATGATGGACTTAGATTATTCTCCTGTGTATTTTACACTGTGAACTTGTCTTCAGCAAGGCTCTGTGAAGGCCTCTGTGTGTCCTGGGTGCAGGGTGTGTCTCTCTGGAGTGGCTGACCATGTTCCTAGAGACACTATCCTGCTGTTCTTTCAGATTCTCCATGTATTGCATCACCACCGCTGTCATGTATTTTTCCTATGAGGAAGGAGAAAGTATTTTTTCCTTCCAGAATACAGGATGAAACAGGCAAGCTTCCTTATTTGTTTCTCTGCTGATATTTTCTTGTTCAGATTCTATGGCAAAATACAGGCCCTGGAAGGCCTCAGCTTTCTATAGGATTCTGTGTTGAGTGTGCCACCAGGGTTCAAGACCTCTCTTGATAGTGCTGAAGGCGAACAGAATAGTTGCAGATAACCCAGGCAGCTCTGCCCCCAGGCACACTGCAGGGCAGCCCGGTTTCAGTTCTCCTTGTTTCTGATTTCATTTCCTTTCTTGTGGATTCAGCTATTCTTTTAGACGGCTTGTTTTATTTGTCCAACAGAGAATTTTTAAGCATTTTGGTAAAAGGATTTTTAAAGTTTTCTAGTCACCCAAAAGAGCAAAGCCAGAAAATATTCTCTATATGTGAGGGGTTCAAATAAATTAATGACTTCCATTCTCATGAGTAGGAGAATTTACAAAAGTAGACATGTAAATGTTTAATCAATACACAGAAAAGCACAAAACTACAAATTTATGCTATGAGATAAAACAATTTACATCTATGAAATCATAAATTTTAGAAGAAAGCACAAAATTGGTGCTCAATGGTACAAAGAATTGAGTGTCATTGTAACCCACTTAATTATCAGTGAATTATTTGAAAATAAAGTGCTTTAAGTACTCTATCATCTATCTGTCTCTATCTATCTATCTATCTATCTATCTATCTATCTATCTATCTAATCTATCTATTTATTCCCTGAGCTAGTACTTTTATTTTTATTAGATTTTTAGATTGCACACAAAATGTATCATATTATGACATTTTCATGCATGTATCATTGAGCTTTGCTCATACCTTCCCACCTCACTATGCTTCCTGTCCATCTCCCACTGGTCCCCTTCCTCACCACATAGAGTCCCCCTTATTTGAAGTGGTATTTATATTTCTAGAAATCTGTCCAAAGGAATCGATCCAAAATGCAGATAATTAGCATGTTGCATGTTCAAAAATGTTCTTTTTTAAAATAAGCATCATTTAAAAAATTTAGGGGGCTATTTCATTTCACTATAGTCTTGAAAGCCTCAGTTATAGACAGAGCCAGAAGTCATGGAAAGGCTTTAAAAAACACTATAGAGAATGGTCACAGTATATCTCACAGATGACTGCTAAGGGTGCTGGTCTCTCTGTACCAGTCCAAGTGGAGGTAGAGCTTGGAAAAACAACTGAAGTGTGAGCCAAATATCTCCAGCCTTTAATTCACCACTCAAGACTCCTCAGTTTCCTTTCCATTGCAAGCATTTTCCCAGCTCCCAGACTGGATTGTAGGACTTTACAGAGTGCCCCCCAATCCATTTGTTTTCTCTCTCTCTCTCTCTCTCTCTCTCTCTCTCTCTCTCTCTCTCTCAGTACCTTTAAATTTTTTATTGAATTCTTATGCATTTCACATACTACATCTTGATCATATTTAACCCCCCATAGCCCCCCATCAGATTTCATGCATTCTGTCATTTATGTTAAGGCCTATTGAGTCAAGTTTGTGCCCCCAAGTGTCCCTCGGCGTGATTGCATCCACTGGACCCTGGTCAACCCATCTAGTGTATTCCCTTAAAGAAGACCAATGCTTCCTCACCCAGCAGTGATCAGCTGCCAAGAGTTCCACAGCTAAGGTTGGAGCTTCTTACCCATTTGTCTAGTTCTATGCTGGGTTTTTGTCTGGTTTGAGCTTGCATGGATCTTGTGCATGCTATCACCATTGATGTAGGTTCATATGAACAAGGTCCCAGCCACCCAGAAAACTCTGTTTCCCGGTGGTCCTCCATCATCTCTTCTTCAATGGTCCTTGAGCCTTGGGTGGTAAAAGTTTAATATAGGAGTCCTATTCAGGGACATGCACTCTGCAGGCTCATTCTCTACAGTTTGGCCAGTTGTGGCTTTCTGTGTTAATCATCTGTTGCATGAGGAAGCTTCACTGATGAGGGTTGAGAGATGCACTAGCATTCTTTCTACGCCCTGTCAAACTGTGTTTCACTTAGGTGTAGAGGTTCCATTGTAGATGTATCACTGAGGGCTGGGTATTTCACAGACACTTATTCTCTGCATCTGACCAGTTATAAAACTTTATAATAGTCCCCATCTGTTGCAAAAAGAAGCATTTTTGATGAGTGGTGAGAGGTATACTTGTCAGACTAGTCCAGAAGTCTCATATGTACATGGCTGTGTGCATGTGTGTGTGCGTGTAGAGGGCCAATGGTCAATACTGAGTATCTTCCTCTATTGCTCTCCAACTTATTTTTTGAGACTAAGTCTCTCACTGAACCTGGAGTTCAGCAATTCATCTAGACTAGCTAGTCACTGAGCTCCGTGACTGGGGTTACGGGGTTACGGGTGACTGCTGCTGTGCCTGGCTTTCCTACATGGGAGCTGGGAACCTGAACTTGGGCACTCCTGCTTTTGTAGCAGGCACTTTATCAATGAAGCCATGCCCCGGGCCCAAGAAGCCTGCTCACTTCTGCTGTGGCTCTGGCTACACTGCTCTGGCCTCCTACAGGTTAGAAGTCCTTGGGACTGGGGCTATGTGCCCTTTAATTCCAAATGTCATGTAAGTCATACCAAAAGTGCTCAATAAATGTCTGTAAGATGAATGACTGACATTTGTGGGTAACTGATCATCTCATAAAAGTTTTTTTGGTTTTTGTTTTAGACAGGTTCTTGTTCTATAGCCCAGGCTGGCCTCAAACTCACAGCCCTCCTACCTTAGGCTCCCAAGTGCTAGGATTATAAGCATGTTTGCTTTCATCCCATAAATTTTTCATAAGTTGGTTTGTAGGAGACTTGAACCTTGTACGGAAATCATTGCAGAACCCACGTCCTAGGATTTCCTTGGCACTGACTCCCCATTTGTACTTGAACACAGCCAAAAGCAGTTTGTTAGAGGCCCAGATGCCTGTGGGTCAGGAGCTTGGCTCGTGAGATCCAAAGCAGACAGCCCCAAGCATGTGTACACTGCCTTTGGACTCTGGGACATGTCACTGATATTCCCCAGGAAACTTGTGAAACCTCCTGTTTATAAAGCTTCTCCATCCGTTATACGTTCTCTCCTCCTGCTCTTGGTAACACGGATGTTTGCATTCCACAGGGATTCCTGATGTGACAAGGTCTGTTTTCTCCAGCTAGCCACCCTCCCCAGCCAGACCCCAAATCCTGCCAGCACCCAGGGAAGAGATTCCCGTCCAAAGCACTGTCATTTCCCTCCTGGGCTGAGCACGAACCTTCGTTTTTATCCCTGCCTACTTCAGCTTTGACCTTCTGCTGCTGCTCTGTGCATGCTGAAGTCGGCTGATCCAAAAATAAAATTTTGTCATGTCATGTGACATACTCACCAACGACCAACTCACCCTGTGCCTGCAGGACAAAGGTTAAGTTGCTAGCATGGCCTGACAGGTAGCCTTGGCCTGCCAGCCGGACACAGTTACCCCACACTGCAACCACAACACACTGTCTCCTCCCCCTCGTCCACACCTTGCCTAGGCTGCTTCCTCCACTTGGGATGACCCTGTCCTCTTGACTGCATACTCCTATTTTTACTTCAAAACCCTGCAGAGATGATCTCCTTCTGTATATACTTCCTTGGCTCCCTCGAGCAGAATCAGGTGGGCCCTTCTCAGCCCACCTATACCAATTTGCATAGAACTTTAATATTAAAGGAAAAAAGCACCAAAATGTGTGTCTTGCCCATGCACCTTCTATTTATCTCAGCGACAGTTCAGTTCTCTGGCCTCACATTCCACCCCTATGGCTCAGACTCCATCCCTCCTCTAGACTGTTGCAATAGACCTTCATGGGACAGCCTGATAATGTTCACTGACTCAACTGTGAACATAGTCACGCCATTCCCCTGATGAAAATCCTTGTTTGGATCCCTAATGGTTTCCAGAATAAAGCCCAAATTTCTTAGTATATGATGCCCCAAAGGGGATCCCAGAGCATATTGGATCTGGGGTCACTGTCACAAAGTGGGCTTGGTAACTGCCATCAGAGTCTGGTTAACTGTGCCAGGAGTTGGGAGGTCACTTTGTGCCATTTAGATTTTCTGATTCCAGGTTCCCAAGCTTACTGGAGCAGCTGCTGCAAGGGTCCTGTGAGTGGCACTGGGCAGGGGAAGCTTTGCCCAACCAGATCAGGCTGTCCCGATCTCTCTGGCCCTAGCTGAAAACCATTGGGAGCTCACCTCACAGGACCAAGACGAGGGCAGAAGCTTAGTTCCTTACCAGAAGGGCCACAAGTGCGGCTTGAATTCTGGTTTGCGAGTTTCTTAAACTCCATGAGCTCTGCGTGGTCCTTCTCATACGTCCTCTTTAGATTCTCCACGTACTGCATCATCACCTCTGTTGCCTTTGACATGCGCTTTTCCTGCAGGAAAAGAGAGCAGAGGTTCAGGGGCAGTTGGAAAAAAGTCACCACCAACACCTGTCTGCTCCAAGCTCAAACCTGGAAATGGAGACTACAGAAACCTCTCAGATGGGAATCTGCCTTTCAAGTCTGCTGCCTATGGCATGGGGATGACAGATGGACTCAGGTACCTGTGTCCAGGGAGAAGGGGGAAAGCACAGCCACATGCTGCAGAAGGTGAGAGGAAGAAGGGATTTGTTTCTTCTGGCAATGAATGGGTGGGGATGGACATGGGCAGGATGGACATAGAACAGAAGTCACAGAACTCCAAAGAGTCCAGAGGTAGCTCCTCACAGGGCTAGTATGTAGACAAGGCTTTATCCTCCAGATAAAAATCCTTTAGAGGGTGAAAGAGGTTACAAATGGTGCCAGGACACTGGACATATAAAGACTTCAGCAAGCCAGCATAGTGCAGACACCTTGCTTTATGTGAAAATCAGCACGTGCACAGCTTTTCTTGCAAGAACAGGTATATTAGGATTGGGCTTGGAAGGACCTAGAATGTTAGATGAAGGAATTTGGGCTTACTCGGCAGAAAAGGAAGAACCACTGACTATGTTAAAGTAAGGGATAATTGGGTCATGGATGGAGACAGGATTGGAGAGAGGGGGATGGGTGGCAGTAAGAGCAACGGGCACAGATGTGGAAGGGGTCTAAGCTAACCAAAGAAGGCAAGCACTGAGATGCAGAAGACAGGGCAGGGAACCAGTTCAAGGTGGATGCAAGCCAGGCTACTGGTGCGTGTCTGTATCCCAGCACTCAGGTGGCTGAGGCAGGAAGATTGTGAGTTCAAGGCTAGTCAGGGCTATGTAGAGATATACCGTCTCAAAAATAAATAGGTAAAAATAAAGGAAGAGAGGCAAAGAAGGAATGAATAACACGGGGACAACAGATTTGGAAGGCCTACACACAGTGGGGTGTTTTCTTTGTGTGTACCTCCTTGGGTCCCCAAGAAGACCAGACTCAGGTCCTGTCTGTCCTCAGAGGGATTGCCCCACTGATTTCCCTCTAAAGGTCCCCACAGCCATGTGGGACTGAGACCCGCCACTTCCCTAACATCCTCTCTGTGTTGATGATCCCAGCTGGGCTACTTCCTGGGTCACACTGCTGAGTCAGATGCTCTTTCTCCAGAAGGACACCAGGGTGGGTCGGCCCAGTGGCTTGGCTGGCTTTCATCTCACAGGTGGCATCCAGGGCCATTCCCAAGAACATCCTCTCTCACAAGCAGTGCTATGGGGTATGGTAACAGCAATATTATAACATCCTCTGAGTGCCTTATATGTATCACAATTCTATGTGGCAGACACCAGAGCAGCCCTGGTTTACAGTCCAGGACCCTGAAGTATGGAGAGATTTGCAACAAGTCCAAGGTCACATGGCTAATGGGGGATGGAGTTCTATGTGCTTCAGGACTTAAAAGTGGCCATGGGTTTGCGGGGGGTGGGGTGGGGACCTGGCCCTATGCCCCAGCTCTGCCACTCTCTAGTGCTAGAATAGCATCAGGAGCCCTGACCTGAAAAGCTCAGAACTAAAAGTGTTCTGAATAATTTTTTTTTCAGGTTTTGGAATCTTGCATAGACATTGCAAGGTATCTTGGGAATAGGACCCAAGTCTAAACATGGAGTTGATTTACAGTCCATGTGCATGTTATACACATGGCCCAAAGATAATGCTTAACAATATTTTTTAATGCATTTTGGCTGTGTCATGTCACAGAAAATTAGTTGTCTTCTATTTGTGACATGATGGAAGCACTCAAAAAGTTTGGAATATTTTGGTTTTCAGATTAGGGATGCTCATCCTTATCTGTCTGAGACCCTGCATCTTCATCAGAAAAGGATGACTACTGTGCTGGATAGCTTTAGTGTCAACTTGACACCTGGGAAGAGGGAGCCTCAACTGGGGAATTTCCTCCATTGGACTGGCCTGTGGCCATGTCTACGGGGCATTTTCTTGATTACTGAGTGATGTGGGAGGGCCCAGCCCACTGTGAGTGGTGCCACCCCTGGGCAGGTACACCTATGTTGTATAAGAAAGCAGGTTGAGCAGGGGCCAGGAGGCAAGCCAGTAAGGAACAATCTGCCATGGCCTGTGCTCCAGTTCCTGCTTCAGATTCCTGCCCTGAGTTCCTCCTACCTTGGGCTCCCAGGATGTGATGAACTGACTTGGGAGATGTAAGCTATATAAACCCTTTCCTCCCCAAGTTGGTATTGGTCAGAGTGTTTTGACCATGGCAATTGAAAGCAAACTAGAACAGCGACTTTAAAGGGTTACCAGCTGGATTAATGAAGCAATGCAGTTTTCCCTAAAGCTTTGCCCACTACCGGTTCTGGAAAAGTTCAGTGGGTATTTTGTGAGACCAGTAAAGAGGGAGGGATTTCCCCAGTCACATACATTTAGAAAATACATAGGAAATGTTAAATAGGCATTTTTTTATTCGGGACTTCTATAAGTCGATACACTTACACAGCTCCAAGAGAGGGGGGTAGTACATAGTTTTCCTCAAATTTACTTGTCCACAGAAAAGTTTTCCCAGGGACTACCTTGAGGATTTAGTGAGCCACCAAAAATAATGCAACATTCCAGCAACCTGCATAGCACGCCTGGCCTAGAGCCAGTCATTCCTGGGTGGTATCTCTTGTCCCTATTTGAGTCATGGTACTAAGTACTACAGTTAGAGCAATGCCAGACTGGGTGCTGTTGGGGCTCACCTGGCGGACAGCCCCCACCACTTCAGCCCGGCTGGAGAGGCGGGCGGCCAGACGGTGCAGGACTGCGATGTCTTCCAGCAGCTTCTGATAGGTCTCCCGGTGCTCACAGTGGTGCCAGATGGATGCTGAGGACTGAGGATGACAAGGGGTGTCAGTCACCCAGGGTCTGCAGAGTATTCCTCCGTGTGTGCACGTGCTCCCAATGTGCTGGTGTTAAGAGGGTGGGCTCTTGGGAAGAGCTTAGATCACTAGAGTAGAGATCTCAAGGGGCCCCAGGGAATTCTCTTCCCTCTTTCCACCATGTCACACTAGAATCTGACCATGGATTTCCAGTCTCTAGAACTATGAGAAATAAATGTTTGGTGTTTAAACCACCCAACCAATGACACTTTGTTATAGCACTCTGAGCTGACTAAGATACCAACCGGGCATGGCTCTTATGAGACAAGTCGTGGAGAAGTTGCTACAGGACCCAAGTCACAGTGTCTTCTAGGGACTGGAGAAGCCCAGAGTCAGGACTCTGGCTGGCTGGCCAGTCATACACAGGCCAACCAACCCCCTTCTAAGGAGCTTTCAAGAGGTCTGAGACTCGGCTCACAGCCAAACCCTCAGGATCCCTGCTTCAGCTCTTCCTTGCCCTTTGAGGAAGACTCCAGAAAAGTGTGACACAGTTGGCATAGCCCTTGAAGACAGTGCTTCTTAGTAGGATTCCTTAAACCAGGGCCTTCCATTACCGTAATGGAAGCTTTGAAGTTTTCCAGTTCCTTCTCAGTGTTCTCTTCTGTCAGGTTGCGTTCCCTTTCAGCCTGGTTAATTCTAGACTCCAAGGTGTAGCTGTCATTTCTAAAGGCCAACGACAGTTGTACAAACACGTTCTGTTGGGAACAAGAGTGTGGTAGAGGTGCTGGGAGGAGTTACTGCCGGGCACAAGGCTGCAGGTAGATTTCTTGCTTGATCACTTACACAATCCTTAAAACTACTCACTGGGGCCTCCACATACAAGTGAAACTCCCTTCACAGTAAAGCACACACAAATGGAGAGGTAGCAATCTGGGGTCCAGGCTAAGTCTCTCACAGGACCAGAGGACAAAATACAACAATCAGACAATAACATTCTGCCTTTCCCTGAATCAAGAAAACGAGCTCCTGTGTTTGGGTTGAGATAAACTTAGGCGAGAGCAGCTGGTTGTGTAAGCAGTTTGGATTTATTACAGGGATTTATTGTGTGGGGGGATTTGGGAGATTTTTATGAAACCTGATTTAAAGAAGTCCCATTTGAGATGAAGCCTGTTGATTTAAAGCAAACTTCAACCAGCTTTGAGTCTACTTGCAAATGCTATGTCAATAGCAGTTTTAAGTAGCTGCCAGGAGATTAAACATGGCTAAGTATGATTCTGTTAAGATAAGCTTTTTGGAATAAATATTCTCCAGCCCCAAAATGCAACGTGGCATCTAGGAATTAAATTTTTTAAAGGTGGTACTGATCAGACATGGAATTTCTAAAATAGTGAACTACTGAGGACAGATAGACAAATGAACTCGAGGGAGGGAAGGAGGGAGGAAGGGAGGGAGGGAGGGAGGGAGGGAGGGAAGTGTCTTCAATTCCATAGCCTTCATCTGTTGCTTGAGGCAAGTGGAAATGATGGGAATAGATTTCTTTCTTTCCTCTGTGTGTGTGTGTGTGTGTGTGAGAGAGAGAGAGAGAGAGAGAGAGAGAGAGAGAGAGAGAGAGAGCTGAGTGCAGCTGTGCAAGTGTTACAGCACACATGTAGAGGTCAGAGGACAATTTCACAGAGTCGTTTCCTTCCTTCCACCATGGGACCCAGGGATCGAACTGAGGTCCTCAGCCCTGCATTGCCTGGAGATGTCTCACTGGGACAGATTTATACTCTGTGGTTCCTGACTTTGCCTGAGCTTCTGACGTCCATATAATGGCTGATGGCAGTCATCTCCAGACAAGAACTGACCCCTAGATGATGATGGCAATGCTGAGAATGGCTGCTTGTTGATCGTCTGGTTTTGCCAGCACTGCTGTGAGTTTTATGAACTTGGCTTTATTTAACCCCACAGCAGCCCTCTGGGGTAAGGATTGTTACATTCATTTTACAGTCAGAGTCTGAAGTCAAAGATATCATTAACTTTTTCACACAGGAGTAGGAGAGCAAGGGCACAACCCAAGACTATCTAATTCCAAAGTCCGTTTTACTTCCACCATGCTGACAGCTGACTATGCTAGCATACACCTACGGGCAGGATCTGGCATTAAATAAACTGCCCACGGCCAATCTCCAAAGAAGTCAGAGCAGGCTTCGAATTCACAGCCTGGTGGTGAGGACTGTCTCTCCTACCCAGCCTCAGTCAAGTTGGTGATGCTCAATGCTTAGCTTTCTATGCCTAACATGAAGGGTCATGAACTGAGTTGGAACACTTGTGTCCAAAGGTTTTGATAAGTTCTGGGTATGTAATGACTCAGCTTTCTTGTCTGTTTTAATTCCTGTTCCACCTCCTCTACAGAGGTCAGCTGCATGGAGGGCTGTGAGTGTGTTAGAGTAAGCATAACAATGTCTGGTTCAAGATCTTGGCTACTGTCTGTGGTAGGCATGTCATGCTGTCCATCTTTGCTCATCTGGTCCACTCTTTGCTCATCTGTCCATCTTTGCTCATCTGGTCTCACCTCTTATAGGCTAGCTTCTTTTCCATCTAGCCCTTTGCCAAATGAAAGGCAAGTTCCTTTCAGCCCATTTATCACTTAGCATTGGGACAAGGCGGCCCCAGGGGAGTCGGGGTCAAACTGGGGGAAGTTGGGCCATCAGCCACCATGTTGTCCATTGAGTGACCTTGCAGCTGAAACTCTCAGGCAACAAGCACCCTTTCCCTCCAGACCAAAGTCTGAAGCTTCAAATCTGACCAAACCTGAAATAAGTTTGATGCAATTCTACCTTCGGTTGACTTTGTATCTCAAACCCATACACTGACAGTCTTTGAAGGAAGGTGGAATTTCCAAATGCCTTCTTGCCTCTGACTAGATTTGTCAAAACCCTCCATGAATAGAAGGAGGAGTGGACATCTCAGCAGTTCAGTTGGGCTGGAGACAAATATTGACACTATGCTACGCTATGGTCACTAGGTCTCACCCTTGTGTAAAAATGTCAGGGCCACAGACTAGAGGAAGGAATGTTTTGCATAAGCCTAGTCACTTTCATAAAGTCTTCGAGTCACTTACCTCGACTTCTTTTTCAGTGAGTGGAGGGGCACTGCGAAAAAGAAAAAAGATGCACACATGAACTTTTTCCAACCTATTAAATAAACCAAAAGGTAACTCTGAATGGCTAGCAGGCCATGTGTTTCCAGGAACAGAGTAAGCTGAGCTGGTGAAATGGAAAGGATGTAGAGTCCCCTTTGTCCCCTCTACCATCTGTAAAACACGAGCCTTTACAGAGGTGGCGTGGAAAGCATCAGACATTGGGGCATCCCTCCAACACGGCCACTATGATCTCTCTAAGTCCCAGCTTGTTCATATGTAAAATAGAAACAATACCATCTACCTTAGAGAAGTCTTAGAAGGAATATACACACATATGTATGCGTGAACTGTGTGTGTGTGTTTGTAAATACAGCCACACCCTCCATACCCAAAAGCTCTATATTCCTGGATTCAACCAACTGCAGATCAAAAACTTAAAAAAAATTGTTTATATAGCCAGATGTGATGGCATGTACCTTTAATCCTAGCACTCAGGAGGTACAGACAGGTGGATCACTCTGAGACCAAGGCTAGCCTGTACATAGGGAGTTCTGGGTCTGCTGGAGCTACAGGGAGACCCTGTCTCAAAAGAAAAATTATGTCTATACAGAATATAATCAGACTTCTTTTGGTCATATTCTCTAAGCAATATAGAAAAGCACCTATTTACATAGAATTTGCAATTGAATTTTGTATTACAAGTCATTTAGAGATAATTTTAAGTACATGGGAGGACTGTATAGATTATATGAAATCTATGTCATTTTATACAAGGAACTTGAGCATTTGGATTTTGGTATCTGTTTTGTGTGTGTGTGTGTGTGTGTGTGTGTGTGTGTGTGTGTGTGCTGGAACTAATGCCATGTAAATATTGAGGATCAACTCTACGTGGCAGCCACGCTCAGTAGGCAACCAGGACCTCTTGGCTGCTGTTACTTTCCACCCACAGGCTGTAAAGAATCATAAAATGCATGTGCATTTGTCATTTACAAACCACACATCTGAGCTGCATCGTAGCTTTTGGGGGCTCCCTGTTCGGCAAAGGCTGATCCTTCCTCCCTGGACTCTGAGAGTCATGACAAAGGTCCATTTGGGCCAGAAACTAAAAGAAGGGAAAGAATGGGCTAGAGCTCTTTGTAGCAAGACCCTCTGAAGACGTCAGAGCAACAAGGGAATCCTGGCTGCCACAGAGGTGAACTTCTGAGAGGTTCCTGTGTAGTTCCCACAGCCTGTCCCAGTCAGAAGACTCCTTATTTATATGCCCACTCTGGGTGGCTGCCACTTCAGCTTTTGCTAGTGACTAAAGCAGGACCCTTTGGAAGCCCAGATAACGTAAATACCGCACAGGCACTTTCCTGTGCTGGGTGGGGAGGCCAGGAGGAGTCCAACCCACGTCACAGGACTTGGCAAGCATGTCATCAATAAACTTCTCAGGAAACACAGCTTCCTCCCCTGGACGGGTGTGGAGGGACCTTGAGAGCAAAGGTAGGGGTCAGCCATCTCTGCAAGAGGCTGGTTCTCACCCTTGATGAGGGACGGTGAGAGCCTTCCTGTCAGGATGAGACAGCAAACCCCTGTGGCCATCATTTTGAGAGAAAACAGAACACAGGACAAACAACTGCAAAGATGTCTGATGCACAACTCTTGTCACAGCCCCACCCTGCAGGCCCTGCCCTCTGAGGGTCAGTATGCTCTTTGCTGTTATCTAGAGTATACGCATAAACTGTCTGGATAATTTATCGAAGTGCTGGGAATACACCTCTGATGCCTGGGTTTATTTCGGTATTACATAAAATTTACATATTTTCATAAATAATTAATCAGGCTTCCTTTTCTACTTTAGTGACTCACGTTCTGCTTTTAGCTATAGAACACACTCATCTTTTTAATTAATTAATTTTGAAACAGGGTCTCCCAGCTGGCCTGCAACTCCCTATATAGATCAGGTTGGCCTCAGTCTCACAGAGATCTGCCTGTTTCTGCCTCCTGAGTGCTGGGAGGTATGTTCACCCCACCCAGATTTTGAATTTATTTTTATACATTATTTTTAATTATGTATATGTGTGTGTGTGTGTGTGTGTGTGTGTGTGTGTCCGTGTATAGGTATGTTCAAGTGTCAGTGGAGGCTGGAGGCATCAGAACACCCTGGATCTGGAGTTACAGGCAGTTGTGAACTGCTTGATGTGGGTGTTGGGAACTGGATTCAGGTTCTCTACAAAAGCTGTTAACCACTGAGTCATCTCTCTAGCCTCCTTTCTTTCAATATTAAAAACCATGAGAAATAGGGATGTGTGACATAGGCCACACAGTCACATGACACAGCAAGTTTATGACGCAGAGCTGTACTTGAAAGACTAGTACAGGGAGTGAAAGGCAGAGCTGTGGGCCTCCAAAAGCATGGAGCATCTTTTCAGGTAACCTTCGTGTATCCTCTTTGAAGAAACTCCTTTGCCCATCTCCAGAAACTGGTTATCTTTTATTGCATCCTCTATAGACTCTAGAAATATGTCCCTTATCAGATAAATGATTTCAAATATTTTACTTTTTGAACAGCATTGGTTGACAGCACAGATTTAAAAATTATTCTGGTGAACCACTTTTCACATATTCTTTTATTTGTTGCTTGTGCTTTTCATGTCTTAGCTAAAGCCTATGGACCAACCCAAGATCATAATGATTTCCCCTTGGGCTTTCTTCCCAGAGTTCCGCAGTGTTACCTTTTACATTCAGGTCTTTTACATTTTGAGTTGATGTTTCCGTATTACCAGTCACTTCGTTTTGTTTTTTGTTTTTTGTTTTTTTTCCCAGCGCTGAGGACCGAACCCAGGGCCTTGTACTTGCTAGGCAAGCGCTCTACCACTGAGCTAAATCCCCAACCCCTCACTTCATCTTTTGTAAGCAGCTTGCCAGTGGTCCTACCACCATGTGTTGAAATTGCCCTTCTTTTCAATTGCAAATCATTCACCAAAATCTTTGCATGAGCAGCTTCTTTTTATCATTGGAGTGTCTCAGATCATTATTCCCTCACCGCCCAGGCCTTCCTTGACGCCTCCTGTGTTTCACTCCCATGGCAGTCTCTGTATTGTTCTATTTCATGGTCTTTCTAAAAATTTCATTATCTCAAATCCCCAGTCCCTTTACTTTCCAACCCAGTTATGAAGGATACTGTTATGTGCCAACACTGTCCTAAGTCCCTGCTCACACATGGCCTCATTCAGCCCTCCCAATGGCACCAATGACAGAGCACTTTTCTTGAACGGGCAATGAAGCCAAGACTCACAAAGAAAAGCACTTTCTCCCCATGAGTAGAAGTCTGGAAGGTTTTCCAATCAGTTCTTCATGTGGATTCAGTTGTTCCACACCTCTTCATAAACAGACATCAACCTAGACTGTCCCACAGGTAAATGGATTAAATTTCAATCTGGACTGAAATCTATGACTCCCGGCCCAAAGCTCACCTCTCTCTGCTTCCACACACCTATGGTAACCCTCAGACCTTCAAGGGTTCTGCCCATCTGTGAACCTCACATGTTCTTAGAGTTGTACATCCTAGCCTGGCCCATTCTTATGCTTTTTATTTTGGATGTATCACCCCCTGTCTGGACCACTTGACTGGGTTCCTTTTGGAATAAGAACCAAGACTGGTTTTCTTCTGTGTTCTACCTAGACTCTAACATGGCAGTCTCCTACAGGGTCTTCTGCAGCCCGTGTTCTGATTTTACCTTCCAGGAAGAGACTTATGCACCCGCAGTTTACGCAGCAGCACATCAGAAATATTGGGCATCACATCGAGGCCACTCTTTGACTCTTCTTCCTCAGTTGCTGGGGAGAGTTCAGAAGAGGCCCCTGGAAAATAAGAGTGCTTCCTTTAAAATGCCTGCTTGAGATCATAGCAGTGCTATCAGCAGCTGGCTTGGGGGTTGGGGGTAAAGCAGAAAGAACTTGAACACTTGAAAACACTTGGTTGCATGCCAGAAGACTTATGATTGTCATCTCTCCTATTTTATCCTGATAGTGACCCAGTGTGCTGGAATTCAATTACCCCTTTTACAGACGGATAATCCAAGGCTCAACAAGGTTGAGTGACTAGCTGAAGATTACAGACTTAGTAAATGGCACAGCCAGACTTCAAACAATATCTTTCTCTTCCCCGTAGTTTCTTCCCATAGTTTCCCAATATCAAGCAGGATTGTGTGTCAATTGTTGGTTTCTGGCAACTGGAAGCTGGATGTTGGCTCTTTGGTTATGATGTTTGGGGAAAACTCCCTTGCCTAATAATTCTTTCCCGATGAAATTCAAAAGCTCTATCTTCTGGCTCCTACCTAGCATTTGGCTTGATGCTAGATAGCAACAGAAACAGGGATTTTCCAAAACAAAGCTAAGGTCATTAAGCCTTTCACAGATCTCAGAAGCACAATGCCTGTGAGTCAACAGAGCCAACAAACAGCTTATAGTTACCTCCTGAAACTATGCTGACCCGTATCTGCGGGCAGAAATGCAAAGCGTAAATCTCTTCTGTTTGAAGACAGCTCTTGTACCTTTCCAAACCAGCCTTTTCCTGGATCTATACCTATTTCCCTGTTGCTCTTTGGTGAATACCATGATCTAAAGTCTCTAGATCCCATCCCTTGCATACATCCTGTTTTGTTGCCGTTTGAGAGGCCCAGATGTGGTCTAACAAGTATAGCGTAGGAGGACATTGGCAAACGCCCTTGGCATTGACCTTCGCATCCATGAAGCACAGAGCTGCTCTGCCTTACTGTGTTCCTGCTCTCACAGTATAATTAGGTGAAGTAAAAGCCTCAGATTTCTTATATTTGGGCCAATACAGGATCCTTATATTGTATAGTGAGTATTCTCTATTTGCACACAGGAGTTTATCCATGCTTTGCTGTATCTCATTGCCTCTGACCTAGCAGCTTTCTTACTTCATAGCCATCTTCCAGGATCACAGGCCAGGCTAGAGGTCAGGACTAAAGACAGAGTTGTAGTAATCATCTAAATGGAGTTAAGGCTGGGATTTGTGTCACCAAAGGAGAACAAGAGGAGGGGAGGTATTGTTAGGTTCACAGTAAATAATCCTTAAATGCTTTGAGCTTTTCAGGAGCAGATGGTATCATAGTTTTCCTGATATTTCAGTTATTCAAATAAAAGCCAAAGGGCCATCTGTTAGGGACGGGATAGTCAGCACTGTTTCTCTGGGTACAATATTGGAATAGATGTTCTCATAGCTACCTATCAACTAGTTCTGAACTGACATTTATTGCTCATTGATAGTTCCATAAATCAGGTAGCAAATCTGTACTGCCTGTAGTCTCTCTCTGGGAGGAGGAAGAGGAGGAGGAGCAGGAGTAGTAGGAGGAGCAGGAGGAGCAGGAGGAGCAGGAGGAGAAGGAGGAGAAGGAGGAGAAGGAGGAGCAGGAGAAGGAAGAAGAAATAAAGGAAGAAATGAGAAAAGAAACTAGCTAGGTCTTTTAACGCTTGTAAAATAGTAATCCCAGAACTAGATACCAGAACCAAACACCCTCTTCCTGGATGCAGTTAAATTAACAACCAAACATTTAAAACCAGCTCAACATATGCCACAATGTTCAAATACAGGAAAAGTCAAGATTCTTTAAAAACAACAATTAAAGATCCCAAGACCTCCCTGGGCCCCACCACCTCAGCTCTCAGGCCTGCTTGGGTTCCTAGGATCTGTGCATGCCCCAGACCTGCGAGCTCCCCTAGCCAGACCTATCAGCCAACCTGCTCCCTTACCAGTCACAACCACCCACTCTATAGCTCCAGGATCCTAGTACCTCAGACTCAAATGTTGCACCTATCTGGATCTAGCTGAACTGAGACCACTTTTTACACCTCATTCACACATCAAACTAAAGTGGCCCCAAGACTGAACACTAAGTGCCATTCAGCTGGGCCATAACCTGACAAGTTGGGGAAAACAGCAAAGATACAAACACTCACATAACAAAGATGAGATCACCTACCCATACCAAGAAACAGCACTGCCACAAGTCCAGATGCCTAGGTCTCATTAAAAAAAAAGTCAAATAGTATGAATAATAAAGACAATATGTCTCCTCTGGACATTAGCAGCCCTATCATGATGTTTCCCAAGAATGCCACACAACAATGATTTCAAAATAGCAATTATAAATATGTTTAAGGAACTCAAAGAAGATACAAGCAAAAGGCTGAATGAAGGCAATGAAAACACAAAAAGTTGAATGAAATAGCTAAAACAATTCAAGATATGAAGCTAAAATTCAGTAAAGAGATAGAATCTCTGAAGAAAAGCCAAACTGAACTAAACTTGAAATGAAAAACTCAGAAACTCAAACAAAAAGGAGGAAAGAATAAAAAAGGGATTGGAGGAAATGGACCAGAGAATATCAGATCTTGAAGATGAGGTTGGGAATGTGGATTGCTCAAGCAAAGAAAATGTCAAATTTAAAATAACTCAGGAGCCAGGTGTAGTGGCATATGCCTTTAATCCCAGCACTTGGAAGACAGAGACAGGTAGGTCTCTATAATATCAAGACCAGTCTGGTCTACATAGTGAGTTCCAGGCCAGCTGGAACTACAGGGAGAAACCCCATCTCAAAAAATAATAAATAAATAAATAAATAAATAAATAAATAAATAAATAAAGTGAAATAACGTAGGAACAGAATATGCAGGACCTCTGGGACAGTATAAAAAGACCAAACCTACAAATCATAGGCATAGATGAAAGAGAAGAGACCTGGGTCAAAGGTACAGAAAATATTTTTAACAAAATCATAGAAGAAAACTTCCAAAATCTAAGGAAAGAGATACCTATCAAGGTACAAGAGGTGTACAGAACACCAAGTGGACAAGACCAGAAAAGAAACTCTCTGCATTATACAATAGTCGAAACACTAAATGTACAGAACAAAGAAAAGATTGAAAACTGTGAGAGAAAAAGATCAAGTCACATATAAAGAAAGGCAGCTGACTTTGCAATGGAAACTATGAAACTATGAAAGCCAAGAGGGCTTGGACTGGTGTCCTACAAGTTATGAAAGAACACAGATGTCTACCCAGACTAACTACACCCAGTAAAACTGTCATTTATAATAGAAGGTGAAAAAAAAAACTCCATGATAAAAATGGATTTAAGGAATTTATGTTCATAAAGTTAGCTTTACAGAGAATACTTGATGGAATACTTTGATCTTAAGAAAAGATTAAACATTCTCAAGAGGGTACAAAGAATAAATAAGCAATTACAGAACAGTTAACCAAAAGAAGTCAAAGAAAACAGCATCAGGGCTGGAGAGATGGCTCACTGGTTAAGAACACTGTACTTGCAGAAGACCTGGGTTCGAATCCCAGCACCCACATGGCAGCTAACAACTGTCTGTAACTCCAGTTCCAGGGGCTCCAACAGTCTCTCTGTCCTCTGCAGGCATTTTATGACATGGGAGCACTTACCTACATGCAGGCAATGCACACATACACATAAAATAAAAATAATAAAATATTTTTTTAAAAGAAAAGAGCACCACAGAAACTAATAAACATTGGTCAATAATAACTCTCAATATTAATGGTCTTAACTCCCAGTAAAGAGGCACAGACTAGCCAATAGGAATAGACAACAGGATCCATCAATTTGCTGTCTCCAAGAAACACACTTCACCATCAATAACTGACATCACCTTAGGGTAAAAAGGTGGAAAGCAAATGGAACTAAGAAACAAGCAGGTCTAGCTATTCTAATATCTGACAAAATAGACTTTAAACTACAACTAGTCAGAGCAGATAGGGAAGGTCACTTCATACTCGTTAAAGAAAAAACACACCGAGAGGATATCACAATTGTAAACACAGATGCACCAAACACAGGGGCACTCAGTTTCATAAAAGAAACTCTATCAGATCTAAACGCACATGTTTACTCCAACATAGCAATATGGGTGACTTCAATACCCCACTGTCACCAATAGACAGGACATCAGACAAAAACTAGAGAAATCCTGGAGTTAAGTGACATAATAAATCAAATGGACCTAACAGACATTTATGGAACATTCCACCCAAACACCAAAGAATACACTTTCTTCTTAGCAGCCCATGAAACTTTCTCCAAAATTGACCACATATTAATACACAAAGCAAGTCTCCACAAACTTAGGAAAATTGAAATATCATCCTGCATTTTATCTGACCACAAAGGAATAAAGTTAGATATCGTCAACAACAGAAATGGAACAAAGTACACAAACTCATGGAAACTAAATAACACACCCTCACCCCTCAAGGTTCAAGAATCATTATGGAAGAAGTGGCAGAAAGATTGTAAGAGTCAGAGGCAGTAGATGAATACAAGGAAATTGTGTTGTCTGGACACCGTAGGGCAGTTGCACCTATAGCACTTCTGACAGTTGCAGAAGACAACCCAACCCAGATAGGGGTGTAGCATGGATGAGGGAGGCAGGCAGGAAGCCCTAGCCTAGCTGAGGATCTATTGGCAACTGATGAATGCTGGGAAAATCCGTTTTCCTTACTGCTGTGAGGTTTGGCCAGTCGTTCAGACTCTAGGACTACTCGGGAGATGTGGATTGCAATCAACCGATCTTTAAAAAACAAAAACTAAAGAAAGAAAAGGCTAGATAATAATGGAGAGTACGAAATAGGGGTAGTGGGGATGAGCTTGAGGGTGGGGCAGGGGTCTGAATGTGATAAAATTCTAGAATCAATTTTTAAAAATTAATGAAGTAATGACTAAAGACAGATATTCTAGGAATAAATGAGGTGCTTCCACCTCTGATACTGCTTTCTTCCTCTCTCAGAGAATGAGGGGGGCGTGGTTTTGT